AGGCGCACCTGCAATCGCAGACAGGCGGTCTCAGCAGACCTGGCAGCAGTTTCTTTTCTCATGTTCCCCCCAGGTGCCCCTGGCCCCCCGCACGGAGGAGAGGCGATGGCAGTTTCGTTTCATTCCCTTTTGTGTCTGGCAAGGGCGCTTGCTTTGCGCACATCTGCGTTGCAATTTTGGTTGTTGATGCCGCAGGTGCAGCAAGTTCATAATATCATCAAGAGCGAAGCAAGTCGGAAGCTCCAGGACATTGCCAAATCCGTGGGAGACGCATGGTCTGCGCGTGACTTTGCTTCGGCTTTTTCGGCCCTCAAGCTCTTGGGAGCCTCGGGAAAAAGACATAGGCAACACAAGGTGTTGCCGGCCATCATGGGGCCTGACAATGAACTGCTGCCTACCGTAGTACAGGCACACGACCATTGGCTGCAGCACTTTGCTGCCCAGGAACTTGCAGCATTGATGTCCCCCGACCTCTTCGAAACCATATGTGTGGACAAGGTGGGTGATTTGAATGGGGCCGCGAGGGACATCGTCAACATCCCAACGTTTGCTGAGTTTGAGAAAGCTCTTCGGTCCACGGGCAACGGAGCTGCAGGCCCTGATGGGCTTCATGGTTCATTTGTAAGAGCCTGTGCGGCTCCGCTGGCAAAAGCGTTTTACCCTCTCGTGTTCAAAGCTGCCATGCTAGTTAGTGAACCGATTCAATGGAAGGGGGGGACTTACCGCACATCCCCAAAGGTAAAGGCAACCCGTTTGCTGCATCCTCCTCTCGCTCCATTTTAGTTGCCTCACATATCGGTAAAAGATATCATGCGTGCTTGAGATCTCGGATGCTGCCAGCCGTGCAGGACGCTGTGGGAGCGACCCAATACGCTGCAATACCAGGTCGTGGCACTACCATGGCTATTTTGGCAGCTAGAGTGTTGCAGCGGATAGCGATTGCACGCAAGTTGTGTTTAGGTTTTTTGTTCGTGGATGTGGTCAATGCCTTCTACACTGCCATCCGTGAGCTAGTTCTGGCCACCGATACATCCAGGGATTCGCTTCGAAACTTGCTGGCTGGCGCGGGACTACCAGAGGCTTATTTGCCTCTGCTTGAGCGGCGGCTTATGGATCTGCCGCTTCTTCGTCGCCACGGGCTGTCAGGGCACTTTGTCGGCATGGTGGAGGAGGCATTTCGCCTGGGTTGGTTTCAGGTCCCTGGGGCCGAGCGCGTGGCGATCACCTTCCGTGGCACACGCCCTGGTACCCCTTTTGGGGATGCGGTTTTCATCTTTATCATTGCGGAGGTCACAGCTAATGTGTCTAGGATGCTCCAGGAAGAAGGGCTTCTGCTCCAGATTGATTCCCCCACCTCGGGCCTCTACTCTCCCCTCTCTTCAGATGACAAGGTTGACTTTCCAGGCCTAGTTTACGCCGATGATTCAGGTTTTGTGTTGTTGGCACCGTTTGAAGTTTTCTTGCCTGCCTTGCCTACCTTCTGCCGCATTGTGCTGAACGCCTTTGCTCCAGTAGGACTAGTTCCACACATGAAGGTTGGCAAAACAGAACTGCTTCTGGATGTTCGAGGGAGCGGAGCCGCTGATTTCAGGCGGGAGCTTTTTCGTGAGCCTTCCCCATGCATTAAAGTCCCTGGGCTTGTTTGCGGGGGAGAAACTGCGTCTGCGGTTAGGTCTACGCTTTACCTCGGGAGCATGCTCGATGATAAAGCGTCGTTGGGCCCTGAGTTGGCCTATCGGGACCGTGAGGCGTCAGGGGCCATGCGTGCGCTGCGTCGTGCTGTGGCTAAGGCTCCGGGTAAGGACATGCCTCCCAAGCTACACCTGCTCGACGCGTTGTCAGTCAGCGCCGCGATGCACTCGGCAAGCACATGGTATGAAATGACCAAGGCGGAGACGCTCAGAGTGCAGACACAGTACATCCGTCGATATCGTGGGCTCCTTAGTTTGCCTAGGTTTGAAGCAGGTGGGCCAACGGATCTTGCCGTATTGGCCAGAGCGGCTCGACCGACCGTCAGTTCGATCATCCGGGTGTCCAGGCTGAGGCTATTCGGCCAGATGTTGGTATCGGCTCCTCGGCCTCTCCTCGCTCTGGTCAATGCGGAATTCGCCTACTCACCTAAGTCCTGGCTTCATACCATTCGCGATGATTTAATGTGGCTGCGAGCGTCGCATCACAAGTTTAAAGAATTTGATCTCCCGAGTGCGGGCATGGACCCGTGGATGGATGAGATTCGCAGGTCGCCAGGAGGATGGAAAAGATCCTTGCGTGCTGCCCTGCAGGCTTCAGTTTCGAGATTGCAACGAGATGTGCAGGCCACGGAGTGGCAACAGCGCACATTGGCAATGCTGACAGCGGGGGGTTTACCTCCTCGGCGTGACCTCCCTCCTCCTCGGGCCTCGGACAAATACCGCTGTCATTTTTGCCCGTGCGAATTCTCAGAGTTGCGCTCGATGGACGCGCACATCAGGCGCGAGCATTTTACTTACACTGACCTCGCGCGTGTGCGCGTGGACTCTCCAAGGTGTGCGTGCTGTTTAAAAGTGTGCGCCAGTCGAGCTTTGCTGTTGAGACACATCACGGCGTGGAAGCCCACGTGTCTGGTGTTCTATCTCAAACACGTTGCACCTTTACCGCTGCAGGCACGCGAGGAGTTAGCTGCCGAGGAGAGGGCCCAAAATCAGGAGCGTCGGCGCCTCGGGTATTCGGCCTCAAGAGGTCGGTTTCCTTCTTTCAGGGCGCCGGGGCCACTACCAATGACGGCTGTTGCTGTTCAGGCAAATTATCCTCGGGCAGCAGCTCAAAAGTTTATTGCCGACCAAGTCGAGCAGATCACTGGGTGGTCCAGGCGAGCTCTTGTGCCCCACGTTTTGGACGAGCCTGAGGTTGCATGGGATCCTAATCCGTCGGAAATCGAGTGGCCGTTTGAGGCCGCGGCGTTTTCAGGAGTTTTGTGCGTTCAAATCCCGAAGCGCATTTTGCGCCGACAGGTTTTCGTTGCCAACCTGTTTTGTGGGCAACGTAGGCCTGGGGACGTACAGGAGGCCATTGAAGTGGCCATGACAAGATATACACCTTCGTTTGAACTTGCTGTCCTGTCTGTTGACATCCTGCTGGATAAAGAGCTGGGCGATCTGCGCAAAAGGAGTTCTATTGAATGCTTTGCCGCCCATATCAGAGCAGGGCGCATTGTCGCCTTGGGAGGGGGGCCCCCCTGTGAGACGTTTTGTGCAGCTCGGTGGAGAGAGGGGGGCCCCCCTCCACTCAGGTCTTGGCATGCTCCTTGGGGCGTGACAGAGCTCACACCAAGACAGCAGTTGCAGGTTGCCGTGTCTAATGATCTGTTGCAAGCCATGGTGGAGCTCATGTGCATTATGGCAGTTTCGCAAGGGTGTGCGTGGATGGAGCATCCGTCCCCCCCGTCGTGGGAACCCCGTTCCGTCCCCTCGTGGAGTGTAATGCCGCTTAAGGCTCTCATGGCAGCACCGTGTTCTAGTTTTACAACGTTTGATCAATGCGAATTCGGTCAAATCGGTAGAGCCCCAACTGCCCTGTTAGGTATCAGGCTCTCTGAGCTCCCCACCTTGTTGCGTGACACCCCTGGAGGAGGCTATTGCTCACACGGGCCCAAAGCCCACGAAGCCATGGTTGGGTGGGACAGCATCCTTAAGAGGTGGCGGACTGCGCCCAAGAAGGTTTACCCACCCGCCCTGTGCCAGGTCCTCGCCTCCTCCATGCTCAAAGCTTTGCTCCCCTCCCTCCTCGGGCAGTCCCCTGTCTTGGGCCAGGCCAGTGAGGAGGCAGAGGTTCAGGAGCTCCACAGGTTTTTCGTTGACTCTAATAATATTGCGTTGAATGCCCCTGTCATGGGGCCCGATTTTGCAGGTGATGCCAGGCCCCATCGCCCTCCTTCGGCGTTAGCTCGGATCTCTGCGTCTCTAGAGTCGGAGGGCAAGGCCCGCATCCCCTCGGAGGAGGAGGAAATTTAAGGCACGCACTCAGTCGCGATGGCACATCTCGGTGCGGACGCGAGCCCTGTCGCCTCTTTCGGTGCGTGCCCCCCTAGTGCAGTGCCTCCTCCTCCTCCTCCTCCTCCCGATCTCCCCCCAGACGTCGTTGCCAGGATTGCTGCAAATCGTGCCGCAGCATTGAGGCGGCGTAGAGAGAGATCGGCTGAGCGCAAACGGGTCCCTGTCCAGCTTGAGGGCCTGTTTAGCCCTCCTCCGCCTCCGCCTCCCCCTCCAGAGTCGGTCCAAACGGACTTGCATCGATGGTTTTCGCTTGCCATTGCTAATGTGTGAAGCGTCATGGGGGGAGGGTACATAATGGGGGGTCTGTCGTTCTAAGATCCTGATTTGAGAGGGCCGCCGTTTGAAGCGGCCTAGTCTCGATTATTTTCGTGCGTTTTCGCTGTGCTCGTGTATCCTCCAGTACCTCGTCCTTGGGGTGGTGGGTAGGATGTGAGGGGGTGGGTCTCCTCCTCCCCCGACGGCGACGCGGCGGCGGTGGCGGCCCCCCGCGCCCGCCGCGCCCGCCGCAGACGCGCCGCAGGCGTGGCTGCTGATCCCTCCCCAGAGCTCCTTCGGCGTTTAGGCCGGGGAAGTGGAGGAGCAGGATTAGGTTTATGTCCTGAATCCGACGTTTTCATCCGGGGTATTGTTTTACCTTTCAAAATTGTGGCTTAGTGCCCCTCTGAGTTTTTTCTCTGCTGGCCCACACTTGGGCCTCTGGGCTGTAGCTTTTGTGCTACACCCCCCCGGTAGCCTTCTTTCGAGGAGCTTTCGAGGACTGCCTGACCTGACCTGACCTGACCTGACCTCCTCCTCCTCCTCCTCCTCCTCCTCCTCCTCCTCCTCCTCCTCCTCCTCCTCCTCCTCCTCCTCATCCCCTCCTCCTCCTCCTCCTCCTCCTCCTCCTCCCCCTCCTCCCTCCCCCTCCTCCCTCCCCCTCCTCCCTCCCTCCTCCTCTCTCTGGCTGGCTCGGGCCGAAAACCGCCCCGCCTGGCCCCGGCCGGCGCGGGCTCGCCCAGCAGCGTGCAGCCCGCCCCCTCGAGGCGCCAGAGCTCCTCCGAGGCCGAAGCCGCGGCCGCGAGTGCGGCGCGGCCCTCCCCGCACGCCGCGAGGAGGTAGAGGCCGCGGCCGTCGTAGGGCCTGCGGCGTGCGAGTCCCACGGGGGGGGGAGGCGGACGAGGACGACGCCGCCGCCGCCGACGGCGACGACGAGGCGAAGTCGCAACACCAGCAAGAGGACGACGACGACGACGACGACGACCACGACGACCACGACGACGACGACGACGACGACGACGACGACGACGACCTGTCCCTGGACCGCTCCTTGGGCGCTTCTCGGTCCGAAAACTCTGGGGGGGGACGAGCAGCGCGCCTTGAAGCAGGCCCCAAAGCCCTGCTGAGGCCTCTGGGCTTAAGTCGGGCCTGTCCCCCTACAGGGGGATTTTGTACGAAGCATAAAAAATACCCAAAGAAAAATTCAAAAATAGTTAGAAAATACACAAAAGATCGTCCTGTAGAGGGACAGGCCCGACTTAATTCTGGGCGCATCTGGAGGCCCGCAGAGGACACCACACGCTCGAAGGGATCGACACTCGATCCTCCGCGCACGGAGCCGCCGACGATGGCGCCGCTGCCGGCCCCCTCCCCAGACCTCCATGGGACGCACAAGAACATACTACAGTCGGGGCGTTGAACTAAGGAACCCTAAATAAGGAACGAGGCCCCATTTGCCGATCAGGCAAATTTCGAAAGCCAATGGAAAACCTAGCACATAACACACGATATTGTAGTACATAGCACATAACGCACGTCCGACCCGAACACATAGCACACAGTATGGTAGTACATCGTTTCCCGAGCGGCATGGCCCGAAAGCGCCCGCCGCCGAGCACATACTAGAAGCACGATTGGCGCGCGCGTCGCCCTTCAGGTGAGCGGCGCACACACAGTGTTAGTATGTTTGGGTGACGCTGACTCCGACGTAGCGAGAGGGAAAGGGAGAGAGGGAGAGAGAGAATCAAGTGGGGGGAAAGAGATGTAGAAGAGACAGCAGCTTATCTCGATATGAAAACTGTCAAGGATAGAAGACGAAACAAAAACAACAACAATCATGTTAAGACTGCTCGTTGTCAGATGCACGCGTGACCCTCAACACGAAAATCCCAAACACTCGATTCCGCCCTCTTCGTCTTCGAACCCCCCTTGGCTGTCTATCTTCCTTGCCTGCCACGCGTATTTGGCGCAGCCGCTAAAACAAGGGAAAGGAGGGAGGAGGGAAGAGATCAGGGGAGGGAGAAGGACGAAGCACGAGAGAGATTGTCAGGCGGGGGGCTGCAGGGGCAGGAGAACAAGCGGCAGAATCAGACGGCCGGGCCGGGCGGGCGGACACCAGCGGGCGGTTCGGGGAGGCGGGCCCAGACGGCCGGGTCGAGCGGGCGGGTCGCTGAAGCGTCAGTCATGCATGAATCGCGGTGAAGTCTCGAGCGACAGCGCGACTCCCCAGTAAGTCGAAAGGAAGTCCACAGCGGGAACGCGATTCCTGAGTGTCGAGGACGCGGCGTGTCAATAAATTGCAAGGACGTCCCACGCGAGGACGTCCTGCGCGAGAGCGCGTCTTTGAAATAAAATGATAAAAGTATCAAGCGGGCGCCGCTGTTGTTGCAAACCGGAAACCTCAACATTTTCCCTTTCAAAACCAAGGTGCGAGCCCAGGGAGCAACACTCCAATTGAAAAACCACAATGGGAACCGGAGGGGGGGATCAAATGAAGTAATGCTTCAACAGCGACGAGAACTCCAGAACAAAGACAACAATAATTGTAAGAATGTTCGCTCTTTTATTCCTTCGGCGTCATCCAACATGTAAAACCCAAACCCTCAAAACCCACCCTCTTCGTCTTCGATCGTGCCCCCCTTTGGGAATATATTGTCCTTACCTGCCACGTGTCGTGGACGCAGCCCTTAACACAGGGGAAGAGAAAGAAGAAGGAAGGGACAAGGGGGAAGGAGAAGCATGGAGGACGAGACAGATTAGCAGGAGCAGGGAAAGAAGCAGTAGTACAAGCGGCACACCCAGACGGGCGGGTCAGACATGCGGGCCCTAACTGGCGGGTCGGGCGGGCGGGCCCAGACGGCCAGGTCGTCTCGAGCGGTAGTGCGATTCCCAAGCAAATCGTGAGGAAGTGTAAAGCGGGAGCGCGATTCTTGAGTGTCGAGGGCTTGCGAAGAAGTCCCATGCGAGCGCGCGACTCCTGGACAAATATTGAAAATGTCATGGGCGAGAATTCGATGTTGTAGACTTTGTCAGGAAGTATCAGGCGGGAGCCGTTGTTGTGGTAGTTCGGGGGACAGCAACCCAGTCCGAACCTCGAAACATTCCCTTGTAAAAGCAAAGTGCGAGCCCCAGGAGGAGCACTTCAATGAACAAAAGCACAATGGGCACTGAATGGGACAATAATCGATGTACAAATGCGATTTCAACTGGAAGTTTAAGACTGTTCGTTCCTATCTGCTCGCGTGCCATTCATCACGTCTACCCCAAACACTTGAAACCCGCCCTGGTCGTCTTCTCTCAAGCATCCCTTCTTGGGGCGAAGTGTTTCTTCTTTACCTGCCACGTGTAGTTGGCGCAGCCCCTCAAGCAGGAGGAGGGGGGAAGGGACAACGAGAAGAGAGCAGGATGGAGCACGACAGAGATTTGCAGAAGGGGCGCCCGAAGAAGGAAAACACTTGGCAGAACCAGGCGGCGCGGGTCGAGCGAGCGAGTCGGGCGGGCGGACCCAGACGGCCTGGTCGAGCGAGCGGGTCGTCACTCCTGCACGAATCGAGAACATGAATCGCGAAGAACTCTCAAGCGATAGCACGATTCCCAAATAAACAATGGAGAAGTCCACAGCAGAAGCGCGATTCCTCGGTGACGGATTCTTCCAAAGCAAGCGACTAGTACACACGTATCACCAGCGAAGCAAGGGTGGCAGAGACCCGTAACGCTGGCTCTGGGCACACGTTCACAGAACTTCACAGAAACTCAATATACATACAAATATGTATACATGTATGTAAGTTTGCATGCATATGTACATGTAGATGCCGATGTCTATGTGCATGCTTATGTGTGAGCATATGTGTATGTACATGTGTACCGACATGTATATGTACATGTGTGTGTGCGCACGCAAATACATATATGTGTACATATGCAAAATTACACACATGGATGTAGCTGTATGCATATGGATATGCAAATGTATATGTATGTGTGCATGGATGTGTACAGGTGTGCGTGGGTGTAGATGTGTATAAGTATGTGGACATGTATGTGTAGATGTACGTGTACGCAGGCTTTCGCTTGTAAATGTAAAGGTGTGTAATGTGTGTACATGTTTGCGTATAATGTTCACGTATGCGTATACATGATTGTGCATGTGTGAATGCATATATGCATGCCAGGTGGTATGTATTGATGCGCCTGTGAAAATGTAAATGTAGATGTGGTTGCACGCGTATAATTATATGTATGTGTATATGTATGTGAAAATGCATACGTATTTGCATATGCGTATGTAAACGCACATGATACGCATATGAACGTCGCATGCGCACAGAAAGTGTATAGAATTAAATTGCATATAAGGCTATAGCGTTGTATCTGAAATCTGCAAATGTACACACATACGTGTATATATATATATACACTCGAACCATCGCGTGCGCTTCGCGCGCGCTCAAGTTCTAGCTACGCTTCAAGGGCGAACACCTGGGGTAGAATAGGTGTCGTTCCCTGCGTTCAGGGACTTTCTTCGAGGCCCTGCAAAAGCCTCGGGATCGCATGGACGAGGAATTGCGGAAACGCAAAAGTCACCTATGGTAGTTAGGTGTTCAACGATTTGGGGCCCTCGAAAGCGTCCTGGGTCTTTTCTGCTGCCTTACTTGCGGTATGTTGCGCAAGAATAGACAGGGGGGCAAACTTGGGGAAACAAACTGAATTGTGGAATTCCCTCTTTTCAAAGCGTAGAGCCTGGGTTGTGGGTTAAACGTTTTCTGGATGCCGGCTACGGTATGCTGGGTTGCCACATGGGGTCTTCGTGCAAGAATAAGCAGGGGTGGTTTTGCAAAAAAAACTAAAATTCCACTGTTTCAACTCATGGGATCATGATATATATAAATATACATATACATATATATATATATGTGTGTATATATATATACATATACATATACATATATGTATATATACGTGTATATCTATATCTATATATATACATATATATATATATATCGAATTCTATCATGGTTTCAGGAGCAGCCACAAGGACGCGAAGACGACCCAAGAGAGTGCCAAGGCAGCGGCAGAGAGTCCAACCGCATTCCCGAAACGATTTTGCACCCCGAAATCTTGGCGGCACCCAACGAAGAGGAAAAAAAACTGGAACCCCTTCCGTTTCTATAAATCCCTCGGTCTTGGAGAGCTGGAAACTGCAAAACGTGAGCAAGAGGAAGAACGTCGACAAAAACCATTGGAAATCAACGAGTTGATCCTCTTCGGGCTCTCTCGGGACGGCTCCCGAACCTCTCTTGGGCTGTTGTTGGGGTCTCGTCGGGACTTTTCTGTGGCCTCTCAAGGATCTGGGGTGCGTTGGGGGCCTCTGGGGGGCCCCAGAATCCTTTCGGAGGTCCCTGGAAGCCTCCTGCTCCCGCTCTTGGGCCCATCTTGGGCCTGTTCTGGGGTGGTCTGGGGCTGTCCTGGGCGCCTCTTCGGCAGTATCGGGGCCTGCTTAGCCCGTTTGGGGGCCGCCTTGGGCTGCCTTTTTTTTCCGAGATGGGGGGGGGAGGTGGAGGGGGGGCGATGTTTGCCCCAACTTCGCCTGTTCAGTGCCAGCGCCGAGCGGGGCCCCAAAAGGTGATATATCCGATATCAGAGGGACTACCAGCGGCCACGCGCACGAGACTGCGAACGGTCACGGGTCACCGCCTGCCCCTGGCCAGGCAGCAGCTGCCGTCAAGCCGCTTCGTTGAAACGGGAGGAGGAATGGGGCGGAGAGAACTGCGCAGCACCATGCACTCGCCACGCCTTGGTCACGAACTTGCGGCGACGGGGGTGCAATCTTACGCGAGCTTCAAAGCGTTGGCCAGGAGTGC